CCAGCAGCCGCCCCCGGGGCAGCTCCATGGCCGCGCCGCAGCCGCGCAGGGCGGGGCCCGAGCGGGGCGGTGCTTCCCTCTGGATTTAAACTTCCGGAGCGAAAGACGCCGCAGTTCCTCGGGGAACGGTGTGCCGTGTTTGCTCCTCTTGTCGAGCCCATTCTTGAGCAAACCGAACCGGCTAGTGCGGGTGCGGGGATCTCCCTCTGCCCGGGCTTTTCCTGCGGTCTCGCCGGTTCCACTCACAAAGCGCTGCGATTTTAATACAAGGAGAAGGAAGCTTTTATAACATCGCTGATTCGCTTTCCTCCTTGCGAGCCTCCTGGGCTGCTGTCAGAACAGGCAGCCCGCTCCCTGCAGGCGTTCGGTCCCTAACATCCACCAGCCACTCTTTCCTACCATCTCTCCAGCTGCTTCCCCACAGGGGGGCTGCCAACAAACACTCCAACAAGTGCAAAATGACTTCTGCTGGGGTAAAACTGTTTGTCATGCTGACTGTCCCTCAGAAAGCTCATCCGAGAGAGGAACACACCACAAACCGAGGTGATACAAAAACCAAGAGAATTTATTATAACAGAAACAAGATTACAGAGCTTCCTTCCAGTATTCTGCAGTCATTCAAGACACACTGTGCCCTGAGAGCTCTGAGAAATAATGAAATGAGAACCTTTATAATTGAAAAACTTATACATTTGAGCTGCTTATTCAAGTAAACGATTGACATAAATCAAACCAAATATTTAGAAGAACCAAATTAACATAATCATGGGGGTTTGGTCCTTCTGAAGCAGGACAATATTTTCCATGAACAATTTTAGCTTCCAAAGACAGACAACAATTCAACTGTGTAAGGCAGTTACCTTACACATGGTACCTGGGAATGCATCCGGCATTCTGGGGTTTTTTTCAGATTTTAGGGACTTGAAACAACTCAGACACAAATGAGACTCCACTGACATTTCCAGTAACAATTTCAATTCTACTTGAAAGTCCTTTTGCACTTGAAACCCAGACTGAACATACTCCACTGCTTCTGCAGGACAAAAACCCCAAAGCTCTGTAGTCTTCCACAGCCTTAACAGACCACTACAGATCCAGGTGTCAGAAAACCAATTCAATATGGAAGTTTTAAAATTTAGGTCCTATGCTTCCTTAAAAGGCTGGGGCTACTACATAGATCCAGATAAATTCTCATGTAAATTCTCTTCCCTATCAAAGCCCACTCCAGATGTCATTCCTAATCTAGTGTATTCTTACTTATCTATTTTTCATTGTGGAACTTCAAAGATCAGTTGCTTCAGTAGTGTTGATGTTATCTTTGGCATCTGCTTAGATCCTTCTAATTCTCTTCTTGCCACTTCATTGTTCACTTCTGTTAGGATGGCTGTGAGATCCACGCGCCTTGAACAAAAATTAAGAGAAGTTACACTGAAACACATGGTACTTGCAGCTCAGCCAAGAAGGTGATGTGTGTTTGCCCCAATAAAGTGGTATCCCAGGGAAGGCTGGTATCTTCCTCACCCTATTGCCACTAAAATTGCACATTCCTTTGAATAACCACAGAATTCAGTGTGTTTTAGGGAAATAAAAGCAACCTCCATGTAGCATTGCTTTGGTTACAACCAGAAGAGGTCACCAAGATTAAACAAACCTATACATTCTCCATGTCTTCTTTTGGATGCCATGAGAAAATGATATCTGAAGGGAAATTTCTATTTTCTAAATGAAGTTTATGAGGGGATGGCTGAGAGGCAACCATGAAAATTATGCCTGTAGAACTCTGGGGGGTTTAGTCTGTGTAAGCACTCAACAAATTCACCTCTAATCAGGTGTCACTGGAAGAAAAATAATTTATCAGTCAAAAAATGTTAAAAAACACACATACACACACTTGTTTGTGTGCAATGTTGCAGCATTACAACCCTGGTTTTGTCATAGGAGAACCAGGGGAAGTCACACTTTGGCTCACCTGTAGAAGATTAACAGTGCCCAATTTCAAAATAAGTACCGTTCTCCACTGTCCTGAATGTGAAAAGCTGTAATTGCACAAATGCAAACCACTGTGTTTCAGCACAGCATGCTTAAGAATGCACATCTGCAATAACCTAAATGTACAAGAATTAGAAGTAGTACTTACTGTGGGCAAAGCAACTCCATCTTCTCACAGAGGGATTGAATGTAAACACTGCCAGTCTTATGACTGCGGAAGGACAAGTAGTCCTCCACTGTAGCCATGCCAATCAGAATGTCAGCCTTATCAGGAATGGAAGTCAAAGGACTAGCATCCACCTCAAGATGTCCAGAAGAGTCTGGTTCTATTGTAACAGGTGGGTGACACACAGAGCCTTGGCAAGCCTGGATGATAAACACCTTGGGTTTGCCAGCAAGAGAAGGACAATTAGTTCCAGTGAAGCAGGAGACTAAATCTTCGATATTTACGCACTCATCATCAACACCTTTTATTTTGCCTCTTTCACCATGGGAGAAAATGAAGCAAACAAAACAGTCCATATTTCTGTGATCTTTTTTGCTGTATTCTTTAACTGTCTCATATATTTTTTTTCCTTCTAGATTCATGTACTCAACTGTCTTAAACTGAAGCCACTTAAAGACCCTCTTCACAGCCTCTGGGGAAAAAATCAGAAGGAACTTGTTAAACATACATAGTGACAGGGAAGATGCTGAAATATCAGTGTCTGTGTGGTAGATCAGATATTAGCAGAAGTGTTCAGATCCCACCAATAAAATCACCTGACGAGCTTTTAGCCTGCCAAATCCTATTAGAAAAACCTAAATGCCTAATTTGCCTAATTTTATTTTTTTTAAATACAACTGGGTTAAGCATCATGCTATCTAAAACACAAACAGGTTTCAGATTCTGTGCTGTATTGGTACAAATCAGTGAAGTTTACTGTGCTAAAACAAGCTTGAACTACACATTGCATAGTAGTCTCAGATGCCTAAGAACAACATCTGGCAAGTTAAAGAAGTGCCACCTCTTTAGAATGACAAATTTCGCTACTCTTAAACGAAGTCGGTCCCTCATTCTGTGAGAATGGTCGATGCAGCACGAAGGAAGTCCGAGTAACCTGCTCACAAATGCTATGAAGACTTCTCAGCAAATAATGGCCTGTAAATGGGCTGGATGGAGTTCAAGTATCCGTGACATGTCCTTCCAGGAATCTGATTTTACTGTTTTACTCTTATTTATCTCAAAAGTGACTTGCAGGAAGACAGGCTTTAAGGAAAGTTCCAGAGCATTTGTTTGAGCATTGAAGAGAGTTTGAGGACTTAAAATATTTTTCTATCATAGCTAAGAACTAAAAACAATCAAAAATTGGGAAGATGGAATAATAATCACTTTTTTCACTAATTGTACATATAACCAATTAAGACAATGCCTTTTTCCTAGAACAAAAATTAGATCCTTCTTTAAGCCATCAGTTAAATGTTGGAAGTGGAATATTTCCAATTGGTACAGTGATTCACCCCAGTCTCTGGAGGCCAGGGAGTACCATGGACATGATTCTTCTTCACAGCAAAGATTAGGTAATTTATTTTTTTTTTGAGAATTATCAGAGGAAAAAAAAAAACAAACCAATAATTTGATTTAAAAGGTACTTACCTCCATCTTGCAATGTTCCCTCTCTATTGTCACGTGGATTTTTAAAAATGTGGTTGTTAAGAATTAAACAGTAACCATGGGGGTTATTTTTCATCGTATAAATTTTCCCATGCTGCAGAAACAAAAAAAAAGCAGGTAGGAAAGCAGAGCCAAGCATTCAAAAGAGAAATACACTATATACAGATTGCTGGTCCATCATTATGTAAATCACAAAGGCCAAGAAACAAGAAAGGAAAAACCTACAATAATTGTATACAATTTAGCTACAGAGGAGAGGAATCTGCATTATCTCCCTGGACCTATCCTCCTTTCTCTCTTCTGTCAGGATATGATTTTGACATGTGAGAAAGGATCCAGAAACACAAATTTCCATGTGCATAGGGAAAGTTTCTGCACTCCACCACTATCTCTGAGGGTACTTGTGCAATTTCAGTGAGGTAGCAGGTTCTGCTATTCCCTTCACATCCTGGCCAGGACTTTAATGTCCCAGTCTTCATTATAATTAAGATTGGTTTTCTTCACTCAACTGTTGGTTCATTTCTTGCTTAAAAGGTTGCTGACAACCAGGTCCCCACAAAGAAGGCTTGGTCTTGTTTGGAAAAATAGGAATTGTTCAGAGACCTACATATAGAGCCAGAATCCCTCCATCTTGGCTGTTCCACCTACTTAGTATCATGAATTTATCCTCCATCTCCCAGGAGATGGACAAATATTTCAAAGGTAATCTTGAGGTATTTCTCACCTGTTTTGCTGCCTCCCTCTCTGCTCCTTGTTCCTCTGGATGCCCAGACACAGACATGGGATAGCGAACTTCTTCCCTAGAATAATTTTCTAAGAAGGAGAAGATTAACAAAACATTTTAGAACTAAAAAGATAAATATTCTGCTGTGCACATTTCAACACTCAAAAAGCCAGAACAAGGAGTGAGGTGGAGGGGGTTTTCACACCAGTGAGACAGCAGCATTTTGTAGAGCTGGGCCAAACACAGCTCCAGTTTCACAGACTACTGGTTATTATAGAAGCCATGCAGGGCTGTGCTCCATTGCTTCTCTGCTCCCCTGCTCTTCTACAGTAGCAAGATACAGATAATAAAAGGTTGGGTGTGAGTAAGGCAAGCCATTCACCAGCATCTCCACTGTGGGATATGTAAGTGGAAGAGGAGACCCATTTTTGTACAACAGTACAAAATGCTGGTCCATTTATTTCTGAGGTTACTGTCTCTGCTCCACAGAACTTTACTGTGTGAGTAGATGCAAGGATGCAAAATACCAGCATAATGAAAGATCTTCTCAGAGCACTTATTTGAATACAACTTTCTGAAAAAAGTGAAATCATCAAATCCATGACGCTAACCAAGGAAACAAAATCACAGTACTCATTTTACAAGTTACAAAAATGTGTTTAAATGAAATTTAATTGTCAGAACAACAAACTCTACACAGCATGCTTTTTTCCTATTTATCAAGAGGACAAAATAATAACAATGCTACTAAAAAGCCATGTCCCCTGACACAGCACTTGCTTGCACTAGCCTCCCTTGGCAATTATCTTCTGCTCTTTTAGAGACACCAGCAGAGGACAGCAGCACAAAGACGTGCAGGGAAAACTACTTGGTAGCTCTGCAGGGTACTGCATGGACTGTTTAAATGTATCTGAGGAAACTCAGGTCCTGAGCCATTCAGAAGGAAGTTGTTATTGACTGAGCATCCTGTTTCCCAAAGAAACACCCAGCTGTGGTGCCAGAAAGCACCACCTCAGCTGCAACAGCCCGGATATACTGAAGTCCTTGAAATTTTCCATCTGGTTACAGAAAGCTACACTTCAGTCAAGTGACTGGTTTTCAGGGACTTTCCTTTGACAAAGAACAAAGGGCCTAGCTAACAGAAAATAGTTCTGACTATCTCCCAACTCAAGTTTCCCCAAGTCAGCTGTCACTTTCTGTCTCTTACAGTGACTTGGAAGTTGTGCTGGTCCAAAACCAGTACCGCAGTTTTTCCTGAACAGATAAATTACATTTAAGGCAAAGAGAAGGCAGAAGAAGAGCATTTACAAGGCACAGAACATACTTCAAGGATAGATACAAGAATCCACGATGGGATAATGAAGTCGCAGAAAACTTCAGAAATCAGAGCTCTTCAGAGCTGTTCTGCCTATCCTAGGTGTCCTTATGGTAATAAGATCTCTCCCTTATGGCTGGACTTCTAAGCTGACAAGGATGGAGCCATAAAACCCACAAAATGTTCCTAAAGAGCGGATTAAATAAATATACCTTTTCTTTTTTCTTCATAAGCATCGATTTTTTTCTTTATGTCAGCTCTAACGCTCTGGAATAGATCTTTCAGAATTGTCAGATTATCTTCTTTAATTATCCCATTTATTTCCATTTCCAGAAAGACCTGCAACATTGACTGGTAAAACAAAAACACATAACCCAAACTCATCCAGTGACCTTTGATAACAGCAGAATCAGGCACCTCTGCAACAGGGCAGAAGACAACATCCTCCTTCCCAGAGACTTGCCAGCTAAAGACCTATTACTTTTTCCTCCAAAACTCATTAAAGCAAGGGCCAAGATGCAATGCAACTGAATAAACACATCATCAGTAACGTTAAAGCAGGACAATTAGAAATTGCTTATAACTAGGCTATCCTGCTTTGTTTCAGCAGTACAAAACACTGATGAGGACAGAACATCCTGTTCTGCCTTTGTGTTCTGATGAAGTGCTGCTAAGTCCTGTAGCTATGCCATTTTGCATTTCCTATTACAGAAAAGCTGTTCAACACTAATTTTGTTTATTAAAGCTCAATTGTCCACCAAGTTGGAAGTAAATCTGCTAGTTTCCCTCTACGTGCCACAATACAAATAGGACTTTTAAGGAAGGTGCTTGATAATACAAAGCATTTTTATAACACAGCTCATTACAAATATTAAACTAGCTCACGCAACCTCTTAATACTTTTGGGGGAAAGTTAGCAATATGTTGTTACTCCAAATTACAATAAAGATGAAAATTTACCCATTGACACACAAAAATCTGTGGTTGAACTCACATTAGAACTCGATTTTCTGTCTCTAAAACATTGTTTTTCCTTTAGCAAACATCACTCTTCTTAGGTATAGCATATGTCTTATAAAGACATTTGCCTTATAAATGCCAAACAAAGATTAAAGGAAGAGAATGATGGATTTTGCAAGAGAAAATAGAATCAGAAGAGAAAAAAAGGCAAAGATACAATGCAAAAAATAAGGATCTGTTCTTTCACACAGCAGCTATTAGCTAACAGCACAATTCTTTCAAACCAGATTTTCATGAGAGCACACTGCTTTCTCTTTCCTCCCTTCTTACAAGAACTAAAGGACACCAAACTAGCCTTGCAAAAAACTCAAGAGCATTTTTCATACAGCGTTTTCCTGGAGCTTGTTCTTTGGTAATAGTTTTTGGAGCAGGAACTTCACACTTGCAATGTCTTCTGGAGTCAAGTCCTCTGCAATTCTATACAGCAGTTGCCTGACAATAAAAAACAGAGTGACCTTCAAGAAAGCCATAAGAAGTAAAGACCACAATTAAACATTTGAACTGCAAAATGCAAAACTCACAATGGCAGGAATTCATGTGTAATAAATACAGTTATGCTGGGATATTCGTAAGACAACATTGCAGACAGAAAAGACAGTTGGCACTGAACTGTTGCACCCTGCATGCTCCTGTGTTTACCTGTAAGCTGACACCTGTGCCCTGCCTGGGACCTGCAGGTCCCTCTCCATCTCCTCACGGCTGGAGCCCAGGTAGGCAGTCAGGAGGTCGATCCGACTGATCTGGTAGAGCAGCTCCTTCAGGAAGGACAGGTTCCCCACCCCAATCATGTCTTTCTCCCGCAGCACTTCAAAGAAGGCCTTGGGCTCCTGGATGGCTTCCAGCTTCCTCCTGGGGACATGCTCCAGGCTGAGGAATTTAAGAGCTGCCACTTCCTCTGTGACCAAAGCCTCAGAAATTTCAAAAAGCAGCTTGAAGAAGTCTCTACTCATTTCACATCAGGGTTTGGATCTAAACACAAACAGCAGTTGATTTCATTTGTCAGCAAGATTAGTGCAACAACATGGTTCATATAAGGGGCATTACATCATGTAGAATAGCCCAAAATAAATACATGCAATCAGAAGTATTTTGATAGAGAGAGGTTGTCTTGCTATTGTAGCTTTGATGCTTAGCTCTTTCAGTTCCCTGGACTTAACAAAGAATATTGAAACCTCTGTAGTTATTGCCATTAGCAGAGAAACACACAGATCATTCTTCCTTCCTATGGTGTTCTAGACAGTGGGAAGTACCAATGTACAGGATGTACAGTCCTGGCAGCCTGCTGCTGGTTTTGTTCAGGTTTGTTTTTTTATGAAGTTTGATACCATTTGGGAGAAACAGCCACCTGCCAGTCTGAAATATAGGCTGTAGTAAATGAGACTGCCAAATTTTACACCACAACACAGTTTTTACACCATAACAAGACTAAGAGTCCACATGAATATAGCTACTCTAAGCTATCTTGCTTCTCCTTTCTTTTTATACTGCCTCTGGTCAGCACACCCAAAGCACCTCTTCCTGTTTTGGTTTATCTGCAGCAAGTAAAATCTTCTTTTTCACATAAATCATGCCTTTCATTTAAGATACAAGAGATACTGTTTATAAAAGCAAATCTTTCTTGTAAAGGAAATTTTAATTTTATTTCTCAAAGGCTGTAAGTTTCAAACCCATCAAATTATTGCAGTTAAAAGAGACCTGCCGCCTACATGTTACATTGAAGCCGGTCTGTAACTACAGGGAGCACAATTAAAACAATATTTAACTGCCACCATTTTTTTCTCCCAGTTTGCTGATACAAGTAAAATTACTATTGCTATTAGTAGAAATTTTAAATCATTTACATGGGAGGGCAACTCTGAAGAAAGTGAGACAACCAGTCTCTAAAGTTCCAGGAAGTCTGCCTTTTTCACAACACAGTATTGTCACATGACTTCCAAGAACTATGTTACAATGGAATAAAATGCTAATAAAGCAGGAGATCCCTACTTCAGCTACTACACACTTACATTTTCAGAGAACTGGTTATTACTGAACTTGTGCAAAAAAAAGGTAAACAAGCCATGAAGTAATCAGGTTTTGCTTTTGTTTTACAGCAACAACTAAGTAGCATACGTAGTGCTTTCTAGCATAGAGCACAGCTCAGCACTTTTGCTCTCATACACAAATCCTAATTAAAAGACAGTGAGAAATGGCTGTATCTACATATTTTCATTTAAAATATCTCAGTCCACTGCCCTGCTGTGTCAACAACTCTGCTATGACTTACCCGTTTTCTCTGAAGTCCCTCTCCAACTCACCCCAATTTAACAGGAAGATATTTTTTAAATTAAGAAAAAAACCAACTATTAGCACCAAACTCAGTAGCAGCGCTCAGTAAATACAGGGAAAGCAACAACTAAACATTCTTCTGAAAAGATTTATGTAATATACTTCAATGAAAAGGTTCCCAGCGTGAAAAACAAGGTTCACGTATTTTTCTTATAGAATTTAAAAGTTGAATAAAAAGACAATTAGGAGATAAAAATAAAGTATACAGATATGGCTGGGTATCTCTGCATTCAGCCAAGAGAGCACACCTTACTAACACAGGACTGTCCCTTAAAAACAGAACCCTACTACATATCCATAAATTCTCGTACATATTCATACATTCTTCTTAAGATTTTTGGTGTTCTTCTGTTTAGTTTTCTCTTGCCCCCTTTCCAATAGATCAATCTTCTTGGCACCATTGAGATTTACATTCCCCAGTAACAGAAATGCAATACATTCCTCCCCCGGAACTCTGGTCAGGAAGTCTTTATCTGGATAAAATAGTTTACGAATGCAGGGGGGCCTCTAGCTATCTTTTTCAATCTTTGGGTTATACAAACAAAAGTAGTTTTTGTTTTAATACTATGCCCTAGCTTAACATATATGTATTATACCATTATTTCTAAGTTTCATCAATAACAGAAATAAAGGAAATTATATTAATACAGCTAAATTTTCTAATCTTATACATAGAACATTTATTATAATATTTGCGAAAAGCCAATAATATGATATGCATTTATAACACCAGCATGCAAGTCGCCAGAATTTTCCATGCAGCAGGAAATAAAGCAGCATTCAGTATGGCTACCAGACTCTCAGCAGATCCTCAAGACAGCATTATGAAGAGAGTTAGGAATGCTGACATTTGTTAAGATTTTGCAATGAAAACAGACATTCATTGATTTCAACCCATCTATCTTTACAAACTCAAAATTATAGCTTACCCTTTGACAGAATGAGGTGTACAAATTCCTTCCAAAAGGCTCACTCTAGTAACAGATCAGAAAACCTTGTTTCACTGGCAGGAATTGTGTCATCATCCGAAGGCTGGGAACAGCACAGAGGAACAGCACAAGTACTCTAACTTCAGGTCCAAAACGTTTGTCTCCACGTCATTCCAAGTCTCAGCATCTCTTTCCTTCCGTAATTTCTTCTGTGTCTTACCTGAACCAAGACTTCAGTTGCAGTCTGAAAGAGCCACAATGCTGAGATATGCACTGTGACAAACAAATAATGGCTTCTCCTCTCAATCAGCACTTTGAAGGTCCACCCCTTTTTGCACTATATCACTTCACAGAAGTTTCACTTTTGATTTCTTCCTCTCCCGCCCTTCCTGGAAATGTTACTGTGCTTTTGTTGAATTAGTTTCCTTCATTTCCCTCGGCTCCCCTGCATTCTGGCTTCCTCCAGAACTGTCTCAGTGACCCTATATTTTCCTTGTACCGCCTGCCAAAAATTGATCTCCCTAGAAAGGGTGATCTTGAGGAAGAAATCTGCTGTGGCTCCTACCTGCTCAACAACTGTAGCGACTGTCACCTGCACTGGCACAAGGCGGGATACACAGCTCCTGCACAAAAATGACAGGAGGGACAGGATACCAGGAACTTGATTACCACTTCAACATCACGATCTTGCCAAGACAGCAACTTCCCCAGAAGAGTGTTTATACTAGTTCCACTTAAATCTGTCTATACAGGGGCTGCACAAGACACAACCCTTCCTTAATTCTTTAGGTGGAGAGTGCACACATGCATGGCTCTGTATGCTGTCAGTAAGCCTCAACAACAGCCAACCACATTTGTTTGTTTTCATGTTTTCTTTCTGGCACAGCTCTGCATCACTAGAGTTACAGGAAAGGTGTAGAGTGTGGGCAGCAAGGAGTGATAAATACCTAAGTTGTACAAAACCAACCCAGTCTCCCCACACCAAGGGTTTCAAATTTCCATCTCACCCTGCAGGAGATGACACAGAATTCCCCAACTGGGTGGATGGCAGCTGCACTTCCAGTTCCAGCCTGTGCAGCTCTTGGGCTGGTGCTGACAAGTACCACTGCATGCACCCAGATAAACTGTGCAGCCACATAAACACAGCCCTCGACACACAAGTGAAATACTCACACTAAACAGTCCAAATCAGGATAGCATAAACTTTGTGTAAACAAACTCCTTATAAGCAAGGGAGACTTTACCACTCTTTTACACTTCACAAGTGTGGAACCCTCCCCCCATGAAAATCAATGCTCAGTGAACTCGGACTCTTCTGACTGCCTTTACCTACCTATGATTTCACTGGAAATTACCCAGGCAGAAGTCTCTACAGAGAAAGCAAGAGAGCATGATGACCTGTCTACCAAACTAAAAATGAAAACAAGATCCTGCAAAACAAAGTCAATGGTTACTCCATAGTGATAAAAATTAATTAGTTTCCTAAACATACAAAATGAGTGCATCAGGTCTGAACAGTAACTGCAAACCAGAAATATCACAATTCCATCCCAATGGATTCCACCAAAGGATGAAACACTTTCCTTATCTGTGGCATAAATGTGACTTCAAGTGTGGCAGCCATGCTAATTCGGAAGACTTAAATGGGTCACACAAGTACCACTTCATTATCATAAAGGGACCATCATGTTTTGGAAAACTGGCTGCATTTCAATGCTCTGTATAATGCAAAACACCCCTCCTAAAATCAGTGCAAGCTAGAAATTGCACCTGAGAGCACCAGACAGTACTCTTTCCTATCTTCACCTTAAGGCATCGCTAATCATATATAACAATGAGTATTTTCATAGTTTCACTTCAGCTTAAACCCTGAAGCAGTTAAATCCTCACTGATTCATGCAGCCCAACAAAGTGCAGGAATCAGTCAGAAACAAGGATAAACCCTTACCCCAATACAAAATTTTTATCTCACGAAGCTCTTAAAAAGTATGACTTTAATGCAGTAACAAACAGGAAAGACACAGGCATACATAACAAGTCCTCGTAACAAAACAACACGGCACTATTTCATTTAACTCACAAAATTCTGCCAGCAGCTTAGTTGATAGAAACCTTCTCAAATTGGCTGCATTTTTGATCCTAAACCAACAAATGATAATTAAAAAATGTAATGCTTAACGAAATTAATCTGACTGCTCTATTTCATAGCACCCAAATCTTCAACCCTAAGTCTTCTCAGAAGTGATGGGGAAATAACAGTTCACAAGGTTTCACAGAGAGAATAATAAGCAGCATTTTGGCTTTACTCAGTTTTGAAAAACTTCATTGTACATGAAGCTTATGTCAGCCATTTGAGGGTATCAGTGTGCACTGTGGAACAAATTGCTGATTTCAGTTGGCAATTGGTTCTTTTTTAAGTTAAATGTAATTTTCATTAGAGATTGGTCCTTTTCCTTACTACTTAAGGTTTTGTCTCTTCATTCTCACTTTTTTCTCTCTACGAACATAGTGGATTTAGAAAAAGTATTTAAAATTGCTAGCCTGCAAAATAAAACATGATGAGTCTAAACCAGACCATTAATAATCCTGGTTTAAATATGGAAGCTTACATGCAATCCCTATGCTGCCAGGAAAAACCTTTTGTATCTGCAACCTGTGCAGGTGCAAAAATGTTTAACATGACAGAAGTGTAGTTCTTCCAACACTGATAACTCTGAATATATAGATGATGTAAATAGCTGGCACATGGATTGTTTTAATTGTGTCTCCTCCAGTTTCACGGTTTGACAAAAGATTTATGAGGCCTTGCATCAAAGCAAACATCCTCAGGGTTTTGGATAACTGTCTTAAAACAGGTAGTATGATGAACTGCATTTAAATGAGATGATAAAATGATGTGTTTTAAAAGCCTCGATATTGCTCTGAAGGAGGAGGGGCCATAGGTATTGGGAATATAAATTTTCTTCTTAAGGTGTATGCTGGTTGGGGCATTTGCTTCTTCATCCCTGAAGGGCTATCACGTTTGGCCACATCTTCATTAACTTGTGTTAGAATCGTCAAGATATCTTCACCTCTACAGCCAGAAGAAGAGCGAGGAAAAAAAATATTAAGTTATTAGTGAGCAGATGGCAATCCATTTAACATCTCCCTGATCAGCTAGATTTAACACACAAAAAAGAAAACACATACTTTTCTCCAAATTTCTCTTTTGTCCTCATTTGAGCCATATTAAAAACAAAAGACCTGTGCTTGCTGTCTTGCTTAATTCAACCAATAAAGAAAAATAATGGAATAAAATATTTTTATCTATCACTCAAGAAACTGTGTTGTCTTAAAGATTACAGATGTGAAAGTTTGTGTGCTTTTTCACAATAAACTTCACATTCTACAGATTACATGTATAGTACTCACAGAGTTAATGTAAATTTATCAGTGTAAAATCATCACTTTAACTAATTCCATCCACCTTAGAACATGGGTAGGTGTTCCTAGATGAACTACCTTTGGAGAAGAAAAATTTCATCAGAGCACTAAGTCAAGTATTTACCTTGGTACCAACAACTGTAGCTTGCTGCAGAGGGCCTGAATATACCAAGCACCCTCTTCAATGTGTCGGAAAGCCGCACATCCGTCAACTGTGGCCATGCCTAGGAGGAAATCAGCATCTTCAGGAATACTTTCATAAAGAGAAACTCTCTCTTGCACGGAAGACGAGTCAGGAGTTGGTCCATCAGTATCAACATAGACAGGACGCTGTATATTGTCACCCTGGCATGCTTGGATAAAGAAGAGTTTGGGTTTTGCAGCCAGCTGGGGACATTGTTTGGCAGTGAAGTGGGACGTAAGCATGCGGATTGACACAAGTTTCTCATCTGTCCCGTAGATTGCTCCTGACTTTCCATGAGATAGAATACAACATATAAAGCAGTTCCTGTCTTCATGATCTTGCACATGCTGCCAAGTTTCCATGAGATTTTTAATATCCCCAGATGTTAGATCTGTGTAAGTCCTCACATCCAGACCAAGCCATGTGAATACTCTCTCCAGCTGCTCTGTAAATAAATTAATGATAAAAGGAAAATTTGAGGTAAGAGAAAAGCATTTTATGAAGTCACCATGCAAGCTAATCTTGGAGAGGGAAAGATTTTACTCCTTGACACTACTGCAGATTCATCCTCATACTAGTACCAACTAAAGGCTAACTGTAATAAAAAAAAGATGGCATCAGCTCAAACACAGTTCCTGGATTTTTCTAGACAACTTTCAGAAAATAGTGCATACATTATTGTTGTAAGTGAGCACGCCAATGACACTTGAAAACACAAAGAATCTGCCCTTCCCCAGTTTCAGAAAAGAGCTTTCAAAACCTTCCACGCATCATTATTTTCCAGTTGCAGTTTTGCCTATTAAGAGTTTCATTCATAAGAGATAAATAGAGAAAACAAAACAAAGTAAGAAACATGCACAGAGTTGCTTAGTTGTGGAATTTTGCATTGTATTAGGTGGGATGATAGTTTATTTTAGTTTAATTTTAGTTCTTTACTATAGCTGTAGATAAAAGATAAGTAAAAAGTGATTCTTAAAATTATTCAGGAATAATCCAACTGAAAAACCCTGTGGTTATTCATCCTTTAACCTCTCCTTCCCCAGGATACACAAATGACATAATTTAACACATATCAAACATTTTACTCTTTTTGAATATTAAATAACCATAGACAATGAAATATAGGGCAATACTACATAATCAACTCACCTGGGGAAACAGAGAGACTAATCTCCAAAAATCTCACTTCTGTAACTTACCAGCATCTTTGCAAGAACCTTTTCTCTGAGAGCTAATGAAGTTAACATTATTAATAATGAGACAAAATCCTCTATGTGGCCCATCCATTTTGTAGCTTGCCATGGTCTGTAGAAAAGAGAAGAAAAAAGCTTACAGTTTCAATGAATTTATTCAACTTACTTGTATTTCCTTAACATGTCTCAAAACTGGCGTTAGAGGCACCTAAGACTGTGGGCTATTTTTGAACATCTAGAACTCAGTGGTGCCTCCTAGTGTGAAAAAACATCAGTGAAACTCCAAGCACACTGTCACCACCCTATCAAACTGCAGAAGAAGGGTTTAGCATTTGTGTTCTCATCTGTATGCGAAAGGCAGGATTCAGCAACCAAACTGCAATCTGAGTCGGTGATGGGGACAGAAGACCCCAACTGTTTTCAATGTCAAAACAGTATTTTAGCTTCATGGCAGAGGGATCATAGTGAAACTATAGGATGTTAAGAATTCTAACCTGAATTGGGTTTTTTTGAGAACAGTAATGAATATCTGGAGTAGGTAATTCATACTGATCCACTGGTAAAGGATGCAAGCAGAACAGAAATCTCAGAAGTGCATAAACCTACCACACTAGTTTTTTGGTTAAGATTTAAAATTACCTTCCACTGTTAAAAAAAGAACATTTTTAAAGCGGAAAAGTACCAAAACTTCAAGTACCATGTATTTAAGCCCAAACTTAGTTGAAATAAAAAAATTCCATCCTCTGGAGTCTCTACCTGCTCACTAGAGAGCAATACACATCTCCTTTTGTGCATTTTAGTAGGACAAAATGAAGGCAGCACTCCAAGTTCCTGACAGCTTTTGTCAAAAGATGAAAAGATGTTACAGCATAGAATTTCAAGAAATTAAATAGCTATAAACAAATGGAGCAACTTGCTCCTTCAATAGCCATGGCCATCACAAAGAAAAGGCCAGAGGGAGAACTGAATGGTTACATGGCTGTGGTTAAAGAGTGCATATAAGGCCTCTAAGAACGGATCTCACAAAAGAGATCTTTTTTCATGTACCAAGACCTCTGCAATAGTTTATGAAAAACTCTTGCCTCCTTTTAATCATTCAAACATGGGCCTTGTATGCTATCCCTTATGACTTCTAGTTTCAAGATGCCCTGAGGCCTTTTCTAAGCCAGATTCAAAAAGTGAGAACTGTGGAGCTCCATTTGTCCCTGTGTTTTGCACGTTCTACTGCCATGTCCAAAATGCACAAATTAGACAAATGCAAAATGTTTTGCCTTTATGAGGAAGATAGGTACATGCACTGATGTGTGAATAATAGGCCATTCTGTCTACAACACATCTTTCAACATTGCTATATTTCTGGCCTCCGAGGTTAAAATATTCTTTGAAACATTCCAATTTATCAGTCAAGTCAAGAAACTTTGAGACAGAGAGAGATATCTCTCAAGTCCTTGCATGATAAATGTCATTTGAGAGAGGATGAAAACCTCACACCCTCAGATATTCAAGAAGGATTTAAGAAATTGTCTCAAACCTTGGATCCATTTTCTACACTGTTGAATTCTCCATGCAGCTCCAGGTTTAGTTCAGAGAAGCCTTGTGTAAAATTAGCTGCCTTGTCATCTAGGAAAAAACCCAACATAGATATTTATGAAGATAAATCCAGCATTTGTAGATGCAGCAAAAAGCAGTTTAGCTACAATACATCACTTTTTGTATTTGAAGTACTGTTTCACTGAAAGGAATAATTGTTCCATACAATATAGCATGGTCATGTTCAACAGATCTAATCTGAACATTTTCTGGTTATTTTTATTCCATTTATTTTTGTGACAAAGGCAAGACTTCTATTTGTATCAATATTGCAAAATAAAAATACTGTGGCACAAGGACGGATTCTACCCAAGACATTCAAATTAATTTTTCATCTAGAAATTAGCTTAGAAATTACCTATATTTAAGAAGAATCTGCATTCTTCCTACTGAAGTTTTCTTTTTTTTTTCCCTCCTGAATCACTGATAAATTTCATTTTTTTAAATATAAAACCAGAAATCATCTGTACGCTCATACCATGTATCAGACACACATGCACACAGAGTTTGTCTTGCCAGCCTATTAGCAGGCAACTGCCTTTATGCAATGCCCATGCACAGATCACAAAGTACCTTTTACAGGGCAGTTGTCATCATCTCAATACTATCAGTGGGGAAATGGAGAAGTGCGACATAATTTTAAGCAGATTTTCAGTTTTCCAGCCTGTTCTCTGTGTGCTGAGCTGCACTGTGTGGCCTCAGGTATTCCAGCGTGTCTCTATTTCAGGGATTCAGCCACGAAATAATGCAAGCTAGGAATTGTTATGCCAGATTTATGCCACCCTAGCTCCTGTTCCAGCAATACACACATGTAACCTTAAGTTCAGTTGCCCAGACCCATCTAGTGCTTCCTGCATTTTAGAAAACCTACTGCTAGACTATGAATTTCTCACCTTTTGCCTTTTTGTAGCAGTCTATTGTCTTCAGGAGATCAGGTGAAACTTTCATACAGACATTCTCCAGTATCTGTACATTGTCTTTAGTTAAAAGGCCCTGCTTTTCCAATAAAGTCAGCAAATCCAAAGCAGACTGACAGCCAAAAGGAGAGAATAAAATATAATTATTGCTCCTTAGAAATCAAAACTTCCTTAGAAATCAAGCCCTGCTGCAAACAATCACATTATTATCTGCTTTGCTCCCTACCAACAGGGACCAGTCAATTTTATATCACCGTTAAAGCAGAAATGCTGCTTCATGGAAAGTCAGTGGTTGTATTTTTATTTAGTATGGTCTTGTTTAAATAGATTCACCCAAACTATATTAGTGACTTGAGGCTTCAAGAAAGCTTCATTGCTGTGAAACAGTATCAATGACATATGGACACAAATCTCCCTTGCATATGGCTCAAGCAGGGCAAAGCTTTGTCACCATTTTACAATGTGATGCTAGACAGTGAACTGTCAGTGACCGACCTTGGCTGGAGGGACCAAATTCTACTCTTGCCTGTCAACAACTTCCTTCTTGCTATCCCTATGAATACAACCAGTCTAGCTGCATATTATGCTCTATTCTGCCAAACACTTCTCACACTTTTCCTCCCATTTCCCGCCTTCCCTCTTCCCACCATATACACATTGGCTCACTCCGCACGTACAAGAATCATCCATCGCTTTGGAAGATGCAGGAGGAATGTGATTTCATCCAACATCTCATTGGTGATGTTCTCTGACAATTCATACAGCATCTGCCTGTAACAGAGATGCAGTGAGGTAACAGTGGAACAGAAGATGGTATAAAAAACAAAGGCAATCTAAGAATTTAAAAATGGAAAATACTATGGCATAGATAGCAGTAATGGAGGGAAGAGAATTCCACTGCAAGCTTACCTGTATGGAGATACTCTTCCCTTCTCACGCAGATGTTCTTGTACTTTCTCCTTGGTGTAACCAAGTTTCTCGAGCAAGAAGTGACATTTAATTCTGTATAAGAGTTCAGCTAGTAGGAAAGTGTCTTCTGCATTCAGATAGTCTTGAGCCATAAGAAGTTTGAAGATGTCTGCTGCTGACTTCACACCTTCTAGCTGCCTGAGGTGGAGCAAGTCAGTACAGAGAAATTTTAAAGCTGCTACATCTTCAGTCACCAGATTTTCACTAATAAAGAAAAGCTGCTGATGGAACTTAAAGCTGACATCATTCTCCATGTTGCTGGAATCAAGTCTCTCCCTGAAATCAAAAAGCAAATACTAGTAACATTCAAATCTTCAATACAGCAATCCTCTACTAAAATTTTACTCAATGACTGTTCGGAAGCCCTAAACCATCTTTTAATAAATAAAGGTTTTAAATAAATTTGAAATTTACTTCCTTTTCTAAACACAAGACTACAAAACAGACCAGATTTGGCAGAAGCTCCAAACAACCCAGTCTATTATTGAAGTTAGCCCTGCTCTGAGCAAAAAACTGTGCTAGACAACCTCAAGGTCTGAATTTTCTTTTCTTTCAAACATCTTCCACTTTCAGTCTTTGCTTCTCTCCATTTTAACTGGGAAGAGCACCTGCAGTAACTATTAATGGAGACAGCACAGTGGTTCATGTATATTCCTTCATCTGCAGTCCAAGTGCTTCTTGCTCTCTGGCTGTAGCAGGAGAGTGTTAAGAAGGCTGACACCCAAGCTGAAGCTGTGGAATTTCCATCCACTCCCAGCTGTAACTTGCTTCCAGGTTGTATTTGACATTTGGTATAGAAAAACCCTTATAAGCCTCTCTTACAAGTGAATGCCAGTTAAAATGTAATAGCACTCGATGCTCAGTCTAAGTAGGCTCTGCATGAGAAACTCAATCTTACTGAGGTTTAATAGACACTTATCAACCTTCCACTACACCAACTTCTTCTATGCAGCCTAGGCAGTTCTATGCTAGGTGAAAGGTTAAATAGGTAAGAGGGTGCGTCAGTGCCTTCTGTCTGGTAGGTCTTCAATCTTTTGTCTGGAGCAGCTGGAAGCGAAGGTTCCCACTTGAGGGAGCGCAATCAGTGCAGGATGTGCTCGCTGCCCAGTCTTGGCGCGGCTCACCCGCAGCTCCGCAGCCGGACCCGGCAGGGCACCGACACAGAAAACTTAGGAATCCGCATCTCTGATGTATGCTTTCAGATATCGCCTCGGAGAAGGAAAATCGTACGAAAGAAGCAGTATAAGGACCGTGAAACTACCTTTTCTTTTTCTTTGGAGTGTTACTGAGCGGAGCACTGCCCCTAGGGTTTAAGTACGAAGCGAAGCGCCGCAAGCTCAGCCCGCAGGCTCCAGCGCGGAGGCCGCGCGGGCAGCCGGGAGCAGCCACTCAAAAAGCGAGCGGAAGTTCGGGATCGGGACACGGGCTTCGTTCCCTCTCCGTTTCAGCCCCGCGCTTCGGTACCTCTTTCACGAACTCCAGTCCCGGTCCCAGGGCGGCGGCTCGCTGCTCCTTTCGCGGTCCCTTTCGCGGCTTGCCGCGGGCGGGAGAGGCGGCCGAGTGCCGCGGGCAGGCG